TATCTGAGCCATGGGTGAATTCAGACTATTTACTGGTGGGAAGTCTTGCCTCACCTTATCTGAGCCATGGGTGAATTCAGTCTATTTACTGGTGGAGAGTCTTGCCTCACCTTATCTGAGCCATGGGTGAATTCAGACTATTGACTGGAGGGAAGTCTTGCCTCACCTTATCTGAGCCATGGTTGAATTCAGACTATTTACTGGTGGGGAGTCTTGCCTTACCTTATCTGAGCTATGGGTGAATTCAGACTATTTACTGGTGGAGAGTCTTGTCTCACCTTATCTGAGCCATTTGTGAATTCAGACTTACTGGTGGAGAGTCTTGCTTCACCTTATCTGAGCCATGGTTGAATTCAGACTATTTACTGGTGGGGAGTCTTGCCTCACCTTATCTGAGCCATGGTTGAATTCAGGCTATTTACTGGTAGAGAGTCTTGTCTCACCTTATCTGAGCCAGGGGTGAATTCAGACTATTTACTAGTGGAGAGTCTTGTCTCACCTTATCTGAGCCATTGGTGAATTCAGACTATTTACTGGTGGAGAGTCTTGCCTCACCTTATCTGAGCCATGGTTGAATTCAGACTATTTACTGGTGGGGAGTCTTGCCTCACCTTATCTGAGCCATGGGTGAATTCAGACTATTTACTGGTAGAGAGTCTTGTCTCACCATATCTGAGCCAGGGGTGAATTCAGACTATTTACTAGTGGAGAGTCTTGCCTCACCTTATCTGAGCCATTGGTGAATTCAGACTATTTACTGGTGGAGAGTCTTGCCTCACCTTATCTGAACCATTGGTGAATTCAGACTATTTACTGGTGGAGAGTCTTGCCTCGCCTTATCTGAGCCATTGGTGAATTCAGACTATTTACTGGTGGAGAGTCTTGTCTCGCCTCATCTGAGCCATTGGTGAATTCAGACTATTTACTGGTGGAGAGTCTTGTCTCGCCTTATCTGAGCCATTGGTGAATTCAGACTATTTACTGGTGGAGAGTCTTGTCTCGCCTCATCTGAGCCATTGGTGAATTCAGACTATTTACTGGTGGAGAGTCTTGTCTCGCCTCATCTGAGCCATTGGTGAATTCAGACTATTTACTGGTGGAGAGTCTTGTCTCGCCTTATCTGAGCCATTGGTGAATTCAGACTATTTACTGGTGGAGAGTCTTGTCTCGCCTTATCTGAGCCATTGGTGAATTCAGACTATTTACTGGTGGTGATTCTTGTCTCATCTTATCTGAGCCATCTACATTTGTTTTGTTTCTGTGTTTGGCCAGCTGTTACATGGTTTGCGAAACAAATTTTCTCCATTTTGAGGGGCTACAGGTGAAAAAATGTTGAGATACACTGAACTATAAAGATGTAAAAACTGTAACCTGATTATTTGGCAGATCATGCTCACTGAACATCCAGCCATTCACTCTTCTAGTGCTCGAAGCACCTCATCACCGCACCTCTCAGTGGCTGAAGACACTCTCTTTTTGTGGACATTTAGCTTGAAATACAGTTTTGGTAGCATTTTATCACAGCAAAGCTTGTTTTCCAAAAATACTCTTGAAATGTTTGATGTCATGATCACACACGAGCACACACAGAATGAAACCATACAACGAAGAAACATTCTGACAATAATTGGCAATTAATTTGAAGAGGGGAAAAAACATATTTTCAGAATGTAATAATGTGAAGTTTCATAAAAACTAGACATGCCTGTATTTTTTTCCACTGTTCCTTGCATTTAATGTTGTCACTTCGTTTAAGTAACTAAATCTTGGTATACACTGGCTGCTGCTTCAGTAGATAAAGGCAGAGAAAAAGAGCTGTTCTTCTGAATTTACAATTTCATTTTGTAATCATACTAACATGAGCAAATAAATGTCAGTTTAGATTATCCTTTATTGAAGAAAGGGGGGGGGGGGGGGGGGGGGAGTAAACAATTAAAGGTCTCTTTTTGTGTCAGTGGCATGTTGGATGCTAGATTTTTAGATCAGACTAGATGAGTGATGTGGTCGACATCACACCAGCCACAAATATTTCCTGGGACCCATTTTAGGCACAATTGGGCAGTTTGTTCCCTCTGTGCTGCTACCCAAAGGTTTACCATATCATCCTGAGATTTCAACATCTCAATCTGGACAGCAGACCAACAAGGCAGATCCCAGATACCTTATTCAACCTCCAAAGAAATTATCATTAGGTCACCTGTAACAGCTACACCAGCCAAGTGTAGCCTGCAAAGTATGCGAAATGACAGCTCAGATCACACAACGCACACACTCTGTAGCACCAACAACAACCCCAGTGTGTGTATACGTATTGGAAGCAATCATGTTGTAATTGCTTCTTGGTTAGTAGATTTTCTCATTTTGATATTATGGGCAGTGGCTTAAGCTTTTCAGTTAACACACAATTGCTTTTTCTTAATTTGCTGATGGGAACCACTATTTTTTTCTTTTTATCAAACAAAAACTAGGAATTTCATCCATTATCATAGGATTTGGGAGGGGTTTGCCATTCTTGGTTTGCTTATGCACTCATTTACAGCTGCGATTGCTATACACTTACTTACTTAGTCTCTCCTCTTATACCTTGGGGTGTAGAGGTTTGCCAGATAAATTGTTAGACTTCTCTATCAGAGGTTTTTTAATAGCTTTGTTCCATTGAAGTCTTTTATCGGTCAGGGACTGTCAGATGTTATCTTCCTAACAAACCCTGGGTTATCCTTGTGGTCTGGTTCCCTGGTTCTTGGCCTCCCATGCCTGCCATGGTGGACGATTGTCTCCTATTTTGCATGCATGACCAGACTATGTTAACTGTGGTTGATCCACTCCAGTTTGTATGGTCTGGATTTCAAGGTCATGACCAGTTGTCTGATTGGGAACTTTGTGCCTTGTCACTTGGACTACCTTTCTTAGATACCCTTTTTTCTAAGGCCTGAAGCTGTCTTCTGTGAGCTGTTGTCATTGCCTATGACTAACACCCATATGTCAGGATTGGCAGATAGGTAAAGCAGTATACAGCCATTTGTTTCCTCTTGCTAATTTCTCTTTTGCTGAGAAACCCTCTGTTTATGGCTGGGGAAACTCTCCGAGCTACTTCTTTTCGAACAGCTAACTTGATAACTCCATTCTGGTCTATTACAACTCCAAGGTATTTGAACTGTTAACCTGATTTGAACTGTTAACCTGCTCTAATGTATTTTGTCCCATCATGATCTGATGTTTCTTCTCCCTTCTTGAAATCACCATGGTTTTAGTTTTGGAGATGGTCATACCTCTCTTCTTGAGGTCTTCCTTCCAAACAAATAAATTTGATCAACGGTGTGCCTCTGATTTAGCTGATTGCTATAAACTACCTCTTACCTGCGATCATATTAATTGCTATATGGCTAATAATTAGTTTTTCCTGCTGCTGTCTTACTTCAAACAACCGGTATTGCTTTCCAGAATTCGGTTTTAATGCTTCCTCAGTAACAGTGCAGGTTTTGGGCAGAGGAGAAGATATGGCCAACAGGTTATGTTCTCCACCTAGGGCTCACAGGTGACATGGTTCACTTCAGTCACAGAGCTAGAAATTGTTTACATAAAACATGTTTCTTCTGGTAACTTCTGTGGCCTGGCCAAAATCTTTTAGCCACCCTGAAGATTTATAAAAGATGAATATGCAATGTTAATGAAATGATTGTATTACCAAAAACATGACTGCTGCATGCATTTCCTGCTGATAATTTGCACATCTTACAAAGACATGACCAGCGTGTCTTACATTTCTGTTAGTTTTGATTGACATTAAATAATTTGTTTCAGAGGATACATTTCTGCAGCTAATAACATGATTGAACTTCCTAATACAACTATTAGGTTTTGGCACTTTACTGTATCTTAGTTGCTTTATTGTACTGACTATTAAGTTGCACTAATTGAAAGCTGAAACACTCATTTTTATTTAACTGTGAGTAAACTTTTCATCAGAAAGTTTAGTATTTCTAGCAAAACATTATTTTGACATCTCATTGACCACACGCGTGCTTGCTGTCATGTTCATGTCCTAGCGATCAAGCCAGTTGCCTCACGTTTTGAAGGTCTTGCATTTGTTTCATGGCTTCATCATTCACAGAGACCCATGGGGATCATTGATGGTGCTATGGTGTTTGTGCTTTCTCATCAGGCGGCTAGCTATTTTGTGGAGATAAACCGAGCTATTTGAGATAAAACACAGTGTTATAAAGTTGATCATCCTCTATTATGCTTACAGTGATGTTGGCATTTAATTAATTAATTTTCCAATTGATTACAATAAGTGACCCATCTTATTCATAATATACATGTTATCACCATCAAGTACCTTGCTGTGTTGTGTGGGTGATCATGCCACTCCACAGTCTGTGTATCAGTTCTTGTGCTGACACCCCTCCATGCCATGACTAAAGGTTGTCAAGAATCATCTCCTGCTGTCTTCCTGTTTCTTTTTGCATATATCTTTCCAGTGGTCACCACATGTTCCAGTTTCTTACTTCTCATAAATGACTATAATAGGATGACTGTCTCTTTCATTTTTTTTTTTTAAAAGTGGCATATATCTGTTAAGTATTTTTGTGTGTCCCTTAACCTTATACTGTTTTTATGAAGCAAACAGAAATATGGAAAAATAAGCATTAAAAAACTAGTTTTTTTCCCCCCAATAAAACTGCTATATTTTCAATATATATATATCATTTATGCATTTTTTTTTTTTTAACATCTACAACAATATTTGATTAATGTTTGGTTTTTCCTTCCTAGAATGTTGCCGGTGTTGTTTCTTGATTTTTTTTTTGGTGTTTGTTTGTTTGTGTCTGATGTTGGTCAAGCCAGCATTTATCATGTGCTACTTTATCATTGTTATATTGTCTGTATATACTGCTCATGCGCTGTTCTGTTATTCACCTTTAATACTTTTTGGTAGTTTTTCCCCATAGATTTGTTATATTTTGTATTGACATTTGTTGCGGTTCTGTTTCCATCAGTCTGGAGTTGGTCAAGCTAGCATTTATCATGCCCTAGTCATCATCTTCCTGGAGTTTTTTGCATGGGGACTGCTAACGTCCCCAATTATCAGTGTAAGTATTGACAGTTTGTGTTTGTTTGTTGTGGCTGACCAGCAGAAAGTATTGTGTACATTATTATGCTGGTTTCTCTTGATTGTTTTAGGAATCAGCACCCTAGCACTCCAGAGAAACTTGTAGATGCCATGTTCCGCTCAGCAGAAGTAAAGTTTCAATGCTGACTTGTTTCTGTAACACACTAGTTGTTGACACATTGTAATTGACTCCTGATATGTTCTTGTCTGTTGGAGCCACACGTAAATTCAAATGCTGGTATCCTCATGAATTTTGTGTCATCTGATATTTTCAGTTAGTGGTTGTTCAGACTTCACAAAATTCCTCCTTGGCCTTCATGTGTGTTGCAGCTAATTATTCTCTTAACTCTTTCAGGCCCATGAATTTTGAGTCTTGGCCCACATTAATTTCCCTTTACAAAAATGGCAGAGGGGTGGGTGTACAAGAAAGGCTGTAGAGATTGTAATATACTTCTAATCCCTATAAAAGTATATATTTTTTAAAAGAGAAATGAATTTACTTTTTGAATCTGATGATAAGTGTTTGTTTGATTTTGTTATAGTTAGTGAAAAAGAAGAATTCAGCAGGTGTTAATTTCACAAGGACAACATTTCACAACAAAATTCTTCACTTACCATGGTTTTGCAGCCACAAGAATAGTAAATATCCAAATTTGAGAACAAAACTTCAAAGTTTGTTCAATTTCCTAACATATTCTAAGGTTATGATAACTTTCTGGGTTAGTTTATCACTCAGGGGCTCTTAGTTCCCACCGAGTGCTAAGCAAAATTTCAGAGAAAAAATGGCAGAAAAATGAGCCACAACACACACACGATTTACTATTTACAGACTGTAGCTGCGATGATTTCAATGTAGCTTAGCCATAGTATAGTGCTATCTCTTTGTTTAGAGCACTTTCCTTCTCTTACACTATAAATACGGTAGTATGGGACGTTGTCTGTGTAATAAACTCGTCAGAATCGCTAGATTCTGAACAGCTGATCTCTCAGCTTCACTGGTGAAAATTCACTGTCCGAATCACTTTCCGGAAAATCTAAATTTTTATTATCATTATCACAATTAAAAACATCTGACTGAAACAATTTCAGAGCGTCGGCCGCAGAAAGACGCATTCTGCGACCTGTTCTTGTGGTTAGAACATTGGTATTCAGTGCACTCAAAAACGAATTTAGAAAATGAACTGTTAAAAAAATTTGATGTTTTTTTCTGTCAAATTATCCACATGTGGTTTAGTCCAAGAAATGAAATTAAAAGGATTTCGGCAGAGTGACTTTCCCTGAATAGGTTATTCGTACCTCCAAACATTAGAAACTAGTACGAACGCGCGTGCGAAGCAAAATGTAAGAGATACACAATTGACGATGACACCATTGTTTGGGCAGAACGGAACTTCTCAAACTACGCTCACACCGTTGTTTGGGCCTTAAAGAGTTAAAGTCAAGAGATTTACTGTGATAATTGTTTATTCACTATAGTCAGATTCTGCTTGTGTAATCCTTCTTCTTTTTTTAAATTTTTTTTGCACATACTGTAAACTCTTGTGGAAAGTCTTGGTTGTTTATCCACTTCTGGACTTTGGTCTTGTTCCAGGGGATTGAGTATTGCGTACATACCTGTTCTACAAGCTTGACTTATTTGTTTCTAGACTTGATTCTACACACCTCAGGCATTTCGATGTCTGAGGAAATGATCTTGTATTGGCGCGGTAGCCTGTTGCTAACGTGTGTCTAGTGTGACCTTGGAGAGGTGAGAGCCTTTTCCCTGGTGTACCGTCATGGGTGGTTCAGAGGTGTGATCCATTGTAGAAGGCTGGTTTGCTGGTGAATACATCAGTGTGCAGCAAAGAGGTGTCCTTTACCATCTATGTACAGTAAAAAGGTGTCCTTTACCATCCATGTACAGTAAAGAGGGGTCCTTTACCATCCATGTACAGTAAAGAGGTGTCCTTTACCATCTATGTACAGTAAAGAGGTGTCCTTTACCATCCATGTACAGTAAAGAGGTGTCCTTTACCATCTATGTACAGTAAAGAGGTGTCCTTTACCATCCATGTACAGTAAAGAGGTGTCCTTTACCATCTATGTACAGTAAAGAGGTGTCCTTTACCATCTATGTACAGTAAAGAGGTGTCCTTCACCATCCATGTACAGTAAAGAGGTGTCCTTTACCATCCATGTACAGTAAAGAGGTGTCCTTCACCATCTATGTACAGTAAAAAGGGGTCCTTTACCATCCATGTACAGTAAAAAGGGGTCCTTTACCATCTATGTACAGTAAAGAGGTGTCCTTTACCATCCATGTACAGTAAAGAGGTGTCCTTCACCATCTATGTACAGTAAAAAGGGGTCCTTTACCATCCATGTACAGTAAAAAGGGGTCCTTTACCATCCATGTACAGTAAAGAGGTGTCCTTTACCATCCATGTACAGTAAAGAGGTGTCCTTCACCATCTATGTACAGTAAAAAGGGGTCCTTTACCATCCATGTACAGTAAAAAGGGGTCCTTTACCATCCATGTACAGTAAAGAGGTGTCCTTTACCATCCATGTACAGTAAAGAGGTGTCCTTTACCATCCATGTACAGTAAAGAGGTGTCCTTTACCATCCATGTACAGTAAAGAGGTGTCCTTTACCATCCATGTACAGTAAAGAGGTGTCCTTTACCATCCATGTACAGTAAAGAGGTGTCCTTTACCATCCATGTACAGTAAAGAGGTGTCCTTTACCATCCATGTACAGTAAAGAGGTGTCCTTTACCATCCATGTACAGTAAAAAGGGGTCCTTTACCATCCATGTACAGTAAAGAGGTGTCCTTTACCATCTATGTACAGTAAAGAGGTGTCCTTTACCATCCATGTACAGTAAAGAGGTGTCCTTTACCATCTATGTACAGTAAAGAGGTGTCCTTTACCATCCATGTACAGTAAAGAGGGGTCCTTTACCATCTATGTACAGTAAAGAGGTGTCCTTTACCATCCATGTACAGTAAAGAGGTGTCCTTTACCATCTATGTACAGTAAAGAGGTGTCCTTTACCATCCATGTACAGTAAAGAGGTGTCCTTTACCATCTATGTACAGTAAAGAGGTGTCCTTTACCATCCATGTACAGTAAAGAGGTGTCCTTTACCATCCATGTACAGTAAAAAGGGGTCCTTTACCATCCATGTACAGTAAAGAGGTGTCCTTTACCATCCATGTACAGTAAAGAGGTGTCCTTTACCATCCATGTACAGTAAAGAGGTGTCCTTTACCATCCATGTACAGTAAAGAGGTGTCCTTTACCATCCATGTACAGTAAAGAGGGGTCCTTTACCATCTATGTACAGTAAAGAGGTGTCCTTTACCATCCATGTACAGTAAAGAGGTGTCCTTTACCATCTATGTACAGTAAAGAGGTGTCCTTTACCATCCATGTACAGTAAAGAGGGGTCCTTTACCATCCGTGTACAGTAAAGAGGTGTCCTTTACCATCCATGTACAGTAAAGAGGTGTCCTTTACCATCCATGTACAGTAAAGAGGTGTCCTTTACCATCCATGTACAGTAAAGAGGTGTCCTTTACCATCCATGTACAGTAAAGAGGTGTCCTTTACCATCCATGTACAGTAAAGAGGTGTCCTTTACCATCCATGTACAGTAAAAAGGGGTCCTTTACCATCCATGTACAGTAAAGAGGTGTCCTTTACCATCCATGTACAGTAAAGAGGGGTCCTTTACCATCCATGTACAGTAAAGAGGTGTCCTTTACCATCCATGTACAGTAAAGAGGTGTCCTTTACCATCTATGTACAGTAAAGAGGTGTCCTTTACCATCCATGTACAGTAAAGAGGGGTCCTTTACCATCCGTGTACAGTAAAGAGGTGTCCTTTACCATCCATGTACAGTAAAGAGGTGTCCTTTACCATCCATGTACAGTAAAGAGGTGTCCTTCACCATCTATGTACAGTAAAAAGGGGTCCTTTACCATCCATGTACAGTAAAAAGGGGTCCTTTACCATCTATGTACAGTAAAAAGGGGTCCTTTACCATCCATGTACAGTAAAAAGGGGTCCTTTACCATCCATGTACAGTAAAGAGGTGTCCTTTACCATCTATGTGAAGAGAAAGATAAAACCCAGCATGGCCCATGATGGGGAAAAGTAGACTTCACATGTTTTTTATTTTATTTGTAATATGTGTTCTATTGTCAGTTTTGCACTCTGTCATCCTATATTGTTTTATTAATCTCAATAAAGTTTGGTTTATTTCCTAATTTTATCAGTTAATAAGTTAATTACAGTCATCTTTCTATCTATACCTCTTTCTCCTCCCTCTCCCCCTCCCACCACCATCTACTCCTCCCTGTCTCTCTTTCTCACACACACACACACACATTACACAAATGCTCTTTGTCTCTCTGACTTTTTATTTATTCTTTTGTATTTTGTGATTCCTGTTTTTGTGTATGGCAGGATGACATTTCTCTGCTGTGAAAATTTTCTTTAGATTTGTTTTTGTGACAAAGAAAAATATAACATCAATTTTACATCATTGTTGTCTTGCTGAGTAATCAGAGTTGTCCTGTTAGAACCAGCCTTGTTATTTGATGAGTATGTTGTGGGATTAACTCGATTGATCTGGCAGCTGAAGGGAGTGCTCCGGTGGTAGGGATGCTGTGATATTGACAGAGGGGATCACTTGTTCATCACAGGCTGTATGCATGGGCTTTATCAGCTCATTGAAGTGGCCAAAATAAATAGTTCAGAAGTTCAAAAATCCAGTATCCCTATTGGCTGAATACATCTGGTTTCAGCAAATCATTAATTAGCTATCTTTTACAACATGCTTCCACACAGAAATCACAAAGTCTGAAAGTGAAGGTGCTGGCTGTCGTAGTGTTAAGTTGCTTTAGAATGTATCAGTAAATGTGCATAATGGGTGGGTCAGTGAACCTGATATTGACATTATGGTCAATAGGAGATGGTCTAGCCTAAACAAAATGGGCTTAGGTTTGTAAGCTTTTATTGCATGCTAATGTCAGATGTCATGTAAAGGTGGATGCTTTGGCTGGGTTCACTGACTGTTGTTCACCAGTGAGCACTTGGCGTTAAATATCTTGATTCACCTGCTGATTTCAATGACATAGGTGAGGCTGTGGTCTTGCTCACAACAAGAGTCATTGAGGTTAATTGATCAGGTAATTAAAACTTGAAAGCTTGGAATGGGACACTGGTGAATCAACACCAAACTAGAATTATTGGTCAGCACACACTTGCAGAAATTCTGAGGAGATTTGAGCACTACAAGAGTTTTTTGCTGTTGAATGATGGTTACCCATTTGCATTATAGGAACTTATTGCAATTACGATCATAATTATGATTAAAATTAGACAATCTACATTCTGCAGAGAAAGAGGGTGAAAAGAAGCAGAGGGAGACGAGAGAGAGAGAAGATGCTGGAATAAAAGACCATCTGTATCAGAAATATTTGAAAATGCATATAGCAGAAGATTGCTGATGGACATGACCTTCAACACCATAAACTGTAAGCTGAAGAAAAAACTTCCAGTTAAAACCTAATTGATTACATAAACACCTCAGTTTTAGCTTTGTTTGTATCAAATCAATGTTTTATTTGTGATTTATGTTAACAGGTCCTAAATGATACTTTCCCGAGACATACCTTCTTGTTTAATGGTCTTATCCAAGGAGTGAAGGTGAGCCTGAGTCTGTTGACCACATGTTCCTCAAAGTATTTACCATTCTTATGCTGGCTAAAATGTGATCATGTGCAGTGTCTAGCTTTTTTTTTAAATTGCATTTGCATAACGGCATTAATTGCCTAGCATTTAAGTAAATAGACATATATGATACAATAAAGTTAAACAAAAACTGTATTTTTGTGTAGTGGTATAATCTAAATAATGCGGACACAAACAAAACATTGCACATTTTATTTCCTGGCACACTTAGCTGTATCATCAGCTGCAATACTAGAGTTAAATCAGCTTGTAGTGAAAAACATGAATCAGTCTCGCTGAAATACAAAATCACATTGTAAATTTAGGCTGTACATCTCTCCACTGGAAATTCAAAATCAGCCTTAGATATTTTCAAGAATACTGTAGGAAACAGTGGTATGAGAAATATTTTTGTTATGGCCATACAGCACACTAAGTGTTTCATTGTTGCCTTCTTTCTCTTCGATAGATCTCTGGAATCCTTCTTGTTAAGCTGTGTTGTCCTATCAAAGATGAGCAAATAATAAAGAATATCTATCAACAGCTTTCAAGAATCACTAAACATTTTGGGATATTAAGTTCATAACGGTGGAAGAAAAGGATGTGCACAACCCTTGTATTTGTTTTCACTATACAGTGACCATATAACAAGATCTATTGAAAAAATACCAGGGGTTGTTGTTAAGGGCCATTATATAATATACATTATGTTGATACTGCCATAACAAGTCAGGCAGAAAATTGTAGATACAGTATTTATAAAACGTTTAGAAAAAATTTTCAAGTTGAATTAGTACTCAAATCAAGTGCATATATTCAAGAATCTATGAGGTCTATAAGCTTCTTTCACACATTAAAACAAGAATAAATTAAAAAAGTAAACACATATTGAAAACAAAAACTCTTATCAGATGTGTGTCTTCAGCGCTGTTCCATTTTTTTTTTTTTTTGCTGAATTCTGGTCAGCTTACTCCGACCAGCAGAAATGGCTAGATAGCTTTCATGTGTGATACCTACAAAGGATCTTTGACACTAAGAGGTGAGACAATATCACAGACATTAGTAGTCAAAAGATGAAGTGTGAAATGATTTACTAAGTGTTTAGATTTTGAAGGCTGAGATGGCCATGCACATGATGTATGGAGAGTCTTTGAGGGCATCCTTTACGATGTATTAAAGATGGATAGAAGTTCTCAAGGTTTATCTGTACTGTGATAAAAGGTTGTGTGCAAGGGAGACATGCATGATATAAATGAATAAACAAAAATTTGAAATGTGCAGATCTTGTAATATAATCTTTAGAAAAAAATCAAAACATTGTAAATGTAGGGCAGTGAGATTATTTTATAAGGCAAATGATGTATTTTACAATATTTTGCAGGGCTTGCTCTCCTTTTTAAGTGCCCCACTAATTGGAGCATTGTCAGATGTATGGGGCAGGAAACCATTCCTGCTTCTGACTGTGGGATTCACCTGTGCCCCTATACCATTAATGAGGCTGAGTCCATGGTAAGTGCCAAAATGTGTAAAGAGAGTAATCAGTCAACACTGTGTGCGCTATGGAATCCCACAGAAAATTATTACCTTAGTAAAGGCAAAATATAAAGACATGAAATGTCGAGTTTTTTATGAGGAAAAGCTAACAGATACATTTGAAATAAAAACAGGTGTGCGACAGGGATGTCTTGTGGCTTCACATGTTTTTACTGGCAATAGACTGGGTTATGAAGACAGCAACAGCTAACTCCAGGAATGGAATTCAGCTTGATGATCTGGACTTGGTTCATGTTATTTCTCTTCTGTCCCAGTCATGGAGTCAGATGCAAGATAAATTGCATATGCTTGATGCGAGATCACAGCAGCTAGGTCTGAAAATCCTTAAGGGAAAAGATAATAAGAATAAATCTGGCAAATAGTAATGTTGTTTCTCTGAATGGTATCCCACTCCAAGAAATGTAGTTGTACACCTATTTAGGCAGTAATGTAGATAATTTCAAATCAGTACTGTAGTGTGGAGCATCTCAGATCAGTACTGTTGTGTGGAGCAGACACATGGGAAACATCTAAGGCAGTTACAAATAAACTACAAACATTTATGAGCCTGCACAGAATAGAGGGAATTGAATGGTATGATAGAATTACTAATGTAGAGCTAAACGAGTTCCAGTGAACCAAGATGTGAGGAAAAGACCAAAAACACATAGAGACGGGAGCTAGAGAGCGAAGTTAAAAAAAATGGGGAGAGCTGCATGCAATAGGGAAGAATAGAACGACTTGGCGTGAGTTGGTTGAGGGCCTATGCTCTGTTGGGAGATAGAAGACAGAAGAAGAATCAAAAATGAACAGAGCAAAGCCTTAAATTGAATGCATACCCTAGGACCTTTTAAAAAAAATGTGTATCTGGTGACTTGTGGCATCTTGTTTTTAAGAAAAATTGCTTCAGATGCTATTTTCAGTAAATATATTCATATTCTGATGGCGGGGGATTGGACTCAACCAGAAGTGTCAATTTAGTAGTATCTTAGGGTGATAGGGTTAAAATATTCATTATGTTGATTTAAATGTACAAGGACAGACATCTAAAATGTAAATAATGTTAAGGTAGCACTCAGAAAAATTTGTGGTCTGTTTAAAAAAAAATAATTTAAAATTCAGTCACATTTATTCAGAATGAAACACAACCAGCCTACTGCACAAGCTTTTTACATAAGGAGATTTGGATGAGGGCACGATGATGACTCACATAAAGTCAAATTTGACTTTAATTAAACCTACACATATTGCAGGAAATAACGCCTACCTTCTCTTTGTGATACTTCCCAACAAAAGAACAGAAGACTGATCTATATTTAAATTGCTTTGACAAGTAAATTGTAGGCTATGCTTGTGTCCAACTTGGCAGGTAAACTCTACTCAGTTTATACCTAACTTGCATTTTTGCTATATTTTGTTTGTGTTTTTACCAGGTGGTATTTTGCCTTGCTGTCAATATCTGGAGTGTTCTCTGTAACCTTTAGTGTGGTGTTTGCTTATGTTGCTGATGTCACAAATGAAGAGGAGAGAAGCTCTGCTTATGGGCTGGTGAGTGGTTTTCAACTTACACTTGAATGTAAAGGTAACCACCTGACCAACACTGCTGTAAGGAATTGAATCTACAGAACATACAGTAAGTAAATCAGGGCATTTTGAAATGTTGTAGGAAGCTGTCTCATCCAGTTAAATAAAACTACCTCAGCCAGGGAGTGAATGAATGAAGCAAGACTTGACATCACTGCACTCAGGGCGCCCACACATGCCCTGTCCTCTACCTCAGTAGCCAATAAAGAGTTCCTGTATTAATGGTATCAGCTTTAACCTGATTAACCTTGTATCAAACCTGGGGCAGTGCCTTTTTTATTTTTTTCAACTTTGATGAGATTTTATGTTTAGACTTTAAAGTTGAGAATATCTATTTACCGAAGGTCTCTTTATTTAGTAGCGATGCCCAGCAGTAAGTTTTGACCTAAGTTTAGATTTTAGTAACTGTATCTTTAAAAGTATGATGATATGAAATTTTTTGTTTATTTTAAATTTTATGTAGTCGTTAGCCAAGGACATTCTGTATGTTTAATTATATCTCTTGTGGGAGAAGGGGAGGGGGGAGCTATGTGTGGACTACTAGTAGTCGAACACCTGTGATTGACTCTGTATTGTGTTGTGATAATTTTGTAACAATTGTCTCGTAGGTTTCTGCAACGTTTGCTGCCAGTCTGGTTACAAGCCCTGCCATTGGAGCATTCCTGCAGGACATGTACAGTGAAAATGTGGTCATTTGGTTGGCTTCAGCTATAGCTATTTTAGACATCTTGTTCATCATGGTTGCAGTGCCAGAGTCTTTGCCAGAGAAGCTCAGGCCAGCAAGCTGGGGCTCCCAGATCTCATGGGAGAAAGCTGATCCATTTGGGGTGAACATGTTGTCCATATTGTTTCTGTATTTATTACTAAAGTATTGTTAAGTTCTGTCTATATGCTTGAGTCCACATCGACAAAGTCTCTGTTTTATTGACATACAGGAATAGACATGCATGTGAGTCACTAGTGAAGGACAGACATTGCGTGGTAACTTGAGATTCCTGGTTGGCAAAAGTGTTGTTGGAACTACAGAGAAAGATTCATGTTTTGTGCACTGCTGTGGGGGAGGGCGGGGGGATATTGCTCTTTTCTGTATTCTAGGGGGTCTTAACCCAACAAATGCCTTATGAACCTGTAAGAATTTCATGAAAAAATCCTTTAAAAGAAAAAGCAGCCATATTACACAGGTCGCTATTAAAAGTTTACAAATATATCTGCATTAAAAATAATTTTTTGTGTGAAATATATAAAGATGTAATCGCTGAATATGAACAGGGCAAAGCATTAAATAGAATACATTCCCTATGAATGAAAAAATGTAACGGGTGACTCGTACAGTGACCTCTGAGAGTTACTGGAAAAATTGACCTTAAATTGGCTTTTAGAAAGCTAAAATAACCTTCTATGGGTCATAAGCCCATCACTCTCCCCCCCCCCATATGTTTCAAGTTATATATTCACATCCTGGCATATTAGGTACCACACAGGCACATTGAGCACAGTGGGATGCTTTCTAAGAACAGGTCACTGCAGTTATTTCTTGTTATTACGCACAGCCATATATGGCATTTACGGGGACGTGGCACAGCCAGAATTGACTACATTCAGGCTTCTCTGGGAAAAGGGGTTGAATACATTTCTGTAAACATCTAACTGTTGTAGTGTTTCTGTGTGGATCATGTGTGCTTGTTTATAAATTTTTTATGAATTACATTTGTTGTGTACACGTTTTTGATGACGTCTTGTGAGACTCCTGCCACAGTTAATGACCTACAATAGCCTCAACCAAGCTGGCAGGGGATCTCTATGGAGCTGGTAGATAACAGGCACACAGTAAAGATGTCCACATGTTTTCTTGAATCTAGAGATGAATTCATTTTAGAAATGTTTTTTCTTTACTATTACTGTAATTCTGACACTAGCTTTTTCTTGTTTCAGGCCCTGAAGAAGGTTGGCCAGGATATACTGATTCTTCTGTTGTGTGTCACAGTATTTCTGTCATATCTGCCAGAGGCTGGAGAATACTCATCTATATTTGTGTATCTTAGATTGGTAAGTGCACACATTTGGCAGCTATTTGTGAATGATAACATATTCTTTTTCCTGTTTTCCTCCTCCCCCTTCAGCATTTCAAACATTGATGTTCATTGCTGCAGGTATCATCCACCTCCATTTATCAATGATTGGCCTTCACTTTCTCATTGATGACTGCAGGTGTTTGTAGGTCTGTCTGTGCATTAACTCTCTCTTATTGCATTAAATTCATTACCAGCATTCTGTCTGCACGTTGCCGACATCATCAACATAATGAACAATGTATAGTACATGAGCATATAGAACAGCTTGGATTGGTTTAGTGAGCTGCTAGTGAATTTTCTTGTTGTTGCTGAATGTTCAGTAACAAAATGATTTGTGGTTAATGGAGGCTCATTGAAATTTATTCATATTTTAAAAATAAAAACACAATTATTTGTATTTATTAAGTCACTTTTGATATCATGTAAGCCTGCAGTTATTATCCGTAGTGAATGTTTACAGAAGTGATATAACCAATTTGACCATTTACATAAGTTTTTTTCATGTTTATCATCTATAGAACATTTTGTGTGCGTGCATGCATGAGGGGGGGGGGCATATTCTGTTTTGGAGCAGTAGTTGTAAATCCTAGAGTTTGAATCTTCTATAGGCTTTTCTGTGGAAAAAACTACATGTAGGCTTTGTTATTTAGTTACTGTACTTGTAAGGTTTTACAGGGTAGATATACCAGCCAGGTAACACTAGGGTGTATACTGATCTCCCCAGCTTCCTCACAGTTCTGTCCACCTAAGTTAAACGGCAGGTTTATTGATAACATTCGGTGCCCTCATTGACTGAATTGTTGGCTTCACTGAGGTTTCTGTGATCTTCTCCTTCATTGTGTTCGATTACCATCACAATGGAGCTATGAATCACTGGATATTAATCTTTCAGAATTCAGTCCATATGAGAGAACTTTAAAAGTTTAGCTATGAATCACTGGATATTAATCCTTCAGAATTCAGTCCATATGAGAGAACTTTAAAAGTTTAGCTATGAATCACTGGATATTAATCCTTCAGAATTAAGTCCCATATAGGAAAAGTTTAAAAAAAAAAAAAAAAAATTACAGTAATTTTACTTGTATAGGGAAGAAGGTAGGGGTGACAGTAGAAAAGTTGGAGGGCAGGAGAGGCAGAGGGAGACAGAGAGAGAGAAGATTCTGGACAGTTTGACATTATATCATGAAGGATCATCTGTTTCAGAGTTGATTGAGTGTACACAAGACAGAAGGTTGTGGATAGACATTACCAACATCACATGGCATAGACTTTAAGAAGAAGAAGAAGGGGAGAAATGCTTGCTGGGGAAGCCATGTGATTGCTTTGGCTAGTGACTGGTGTTATGACCGATTAGCAGTTCATTGATGGAATCTGGAAGTTGAGCTATGTCTGTTTGCCAAAAAGACAGTGTACACAATATGAACATTTGTCTCTTTATATCTCTCCAGATTATGGGTTTTTCAAAAGAAGAAGTTGCTTCTTACATTGCTGTTGTTGGTGTGTTGTCTGTATTAGCACAGGTAAGTGTTCTGTAAAGTTATGCTTTCACATTGAACATTTCTGTCTGTATTATTTGTGAATGTTTACATATGCTACAGGGGTGAACAGATTACCTACCTTATCTGCTCTCAGTTTTTGCAAAGTTGACCACTTTTAACACTAACCTTGAGAAGCTGAAAACCGTCACTTCCGGTTGGGCCGTGTTCCCCCTAAATGTCACTTCTCTGACTTGAGTATCATGACCTGTTTACGAGGTGTATAGTTAATGCAATTGGCTGTGTTCGCACCTATGCAAACATTTAGGAGGTCAGGATATGAATAAGTTAACTAATGGTAGCATTTACAGGAGTTTGACTCTGTGCTAAATGGCTTTTGTAAAGCCACAATTATTTTCCTAAAAGTCTCAGTGGTAAAGTCACTCAGTGGGATGAGTCACCTAATACACATGTGTGTTTTTTAAGGCTCTAGGAAATGTATTTAACTATTTACGGACATTTAGCCAGTTTACTGGCGCTTAAGTCTATCCCTTAAAGACGCAAAGCCAGTTTACTGGCTCATGATAGAGACACTCTAATTTTGTTCCATTTGTAGGGTAAACGAACTTTTATGAACAAGTTTTTTAACAATTAGGATTAACAACAGGACATACTTTCATTTGTGATGTTCATCGTGGTCGGTGCATTATTTTGTGATTTAAAAAAAAATTATTTAGACGTGATACAATTTTTACGTGATTTTTCTATACTAAATGATAAGGGAAAAGGTCTAGAACTGTCCATACTGCTCTATCGTTGATGAATCCCTGCCAGATGGTGACAACAGTCTTGATATTATGATTGATATCTAAGGGACACATCTACTAGCGATAATTTAGTTTAGGATATGAAAATTTCACAAAATATTTCAATTAGATCAATGTTTCGATCAGCTGTTTTTCCGTTTTTCGATTGTTGTGAAAATTGACGTCATACAAAAATGATTATAATATTCAAAGTATTTAAATTAATTGTTTCAAATAAAGACTAGCTAATACTTAATTGAACAGAGAAGGCATGTTTATTCTTAGAATTGGATAGCAGTGTTGTTGAACCAGTAAAAAATAAGGTTAGCACACAATTTTGTATGTTTAAAATTGTCCTTTGTGTCTAACATCCTTGAATGTTGTGTGATTTTAATAATATTTTTATGTTATACTGACATTTAAGTAGTTTAGATTTATTCTGCACTCATTTATCTTTAATTTGACATATTATAAGTCCCGATACAACCCATACTTTTTCTTCAGGAAGGTTTTAGCTTTATTGTATTGCACTAAAAAAATTCCACTTAAAATTAATGCTATCCAAACCCCAGAAAAAATGCCGTCCTAAAAGAGTTAATTTAGTACTTCACCTCCTTCATGTTAAAAAAAATTAAAGTTTTTCTTGTAGTGATCTGTAGACGTAATCAAACTACTTGATATCTTTGCAGAGTTATTAAGTGTTTTGCATATACCAGCTGGCCAATTTGCTACTAAATATGTTTCTTGATGCTTCATTTTATAGTCCACACTAGTGAAACCCAGCTGCTAAAACCTGCAGACTTCTGTTATTTTCTTGCACATAACCCATAGTTTTTAATAGTCAAATTGAAAAAAAAAAAGATTTATATAAATGATTTCACTAGCCGCTTCACTGAACACCGTTCTTCTTTAAATGACATCTTTATATCCCAGACTTCTCACTGAACACCGTTCTTCTTTAAATCACATCTTTATATCCCAGACTTCTCACTGAACACTGTTCTTCTTTAAATCACATCTTTATATCCCAGACTTCTCACTGAACACCCTTCTTCTTTAAATCACATCTTTATGTCCTAGACTTTTCATTAAACATCATTCTGCGTTAAATCACATCCCTATGTCCTAGACTTCTCACTCTTTAAATCACATCTTTATTTCCCAGACTTCTCACTTAACATCCTGCTTCTTTAAATCACATCTTTATGTCCCAAATTTCTCACTAAACATAATTCTTCTTTAAATCACATCTTTATTTCCCAGACTTCGCACTAAACTTCATTCTTCTTTAAATCACATCTTTATTTCCCAGACTTCTCACTAACCATCCTGCTTCTTTAAATCACATCTTTATGTCCCAGACTTCTCACTAAACATCATTCATCTTTAAATCATATATTTATGTCCCAGACTTCTCACCAAACATCATTCTTCTTTAAATCACATCTTTATGTCCCAGACTTCTCACTAAACATCATTCTTCTTTAAATCACATCTTTATGTCCCAGACTTATCATTAAACATCATTCTTCTTTAAATCACATCTTTATGACCCAGAATTCTCGCTAAACATCATTCTTTTTTTTTTCATGCTTCTGTGTAATGTTTGACCTCTCATTATTACATTTATTGCTAGCAGTTTGTAGATAATTTTCTGCAACCTAATGGAAGCCTTATTTGCGTGGATTTTTATCATGGTATGGGGTGCCGCAGTTCGACCCAGCCTAAAATGGGTACCAGGATGTATGTCTTGTCAAATTGAAGTTAGCCGGCGTAATGCTGACCACATTACCCACCTAGTGCCGATTGGTCTGTAAAAATGTAGGTGCTTTTCCCATATGCCTGATGTGCTTAAAGGTGTAAAAAAGGATTTTTACCTTTACTTTTACTTAGAAGCTTTATATTTTAGATGGCCAGTATCAGTTTACATCAGTATAGCATTGTATATATAGTTGAGTGTTCCTCAACCTGTTCACACCCGTGACCCACAAAACAAGGGAAATTGTTTCACGGCCCACCTGACAGCTAACCAAACTCAGAAAGCAAATATGGATACCAGTTTATATGTTAAATCCCGTGTCACAAAATTACACTTTTTAACTAATGTGGCAACTTTTGCTGCTTAGAAATATACTTGAGCTTTGTTTGTAATAGACATTAACATCCATTTAATTTTTTTCTGTTTGGTTTTTATTATTAACATGCTCAAGAAAATCTTTTCCACAAATAAGTCCATGGGATGTTAATCTTACAGGCTGGAAGAGAAAAAACACCTACCCTACCTGGTTGCATGATTAAGGATAATTTGTTTGCGGCCCACGGGTTGAAGAACATTAGAATAACAATTTCAGTTTTTAAATAACAATCCCAGAAAAAAATTATGAAATAGCGTTATGCATTTCTTTATCCACACATTGAAGGGTTGTTGCTTGTGATTTCAGACTTTGATTTTAGCAGTGTTGATGAAGTACATTGGGCACAAACAGACAATCATGTTTGGACTGGTATTTGAGATCATTCAGTTATGCTGCTTTGGCTTTGCTTCACAACATTGGTAAGTTTGTATGATGGGAGGTGAAAAGTGGTGTGGTTGTATGAGGGAAGGTGAAAAGTGGGAAGATTGTATGATGGTAGGTAAAAAGTTGTGTGTTTGTATGAGGGAAGGTGAAAAGTGGGAAGATTTAATGATGTAAGGTGAAAAGTGGGAAGTTTGTATGATGCTAGTTAAAAGCTGTAAATGTATATCATGGGAGTTAAAAAGTAGTGTGTTTTAGGGTGATATTGTGCTTGTACTTCAGGTAATGCACGTTACTTTATCTTCCAAATAAATAAAATAGAGGATGTTTTACAGAGTACTCTTAAATCACTTGTTTGGAAGGTTGTTGTCTCTAAAAGGAAGTATCTTGTGTGAGTCAGGGGTAAACAAAAAGATTGAGTGAAGCAATGTAACATTCCAAGTTTCTGAAGGGAATCGGAAAGTGATAAGTCTGTATAATATGAGCTAAAAAGTGGTTTCGTTTGATGAACTTATCTTAATTGTCTTCCATTTTATCATTATCTAGTATTGTGCACTGCCAAGGCCACTTCTGTGTCCTTTGTTCATGTTATTATTGTGATATATAATTATTGTTTCAAGTAGTTCTGTAATTATTGTTTCAAGTAGTTCTGTAATTATTTCATCTACAAATTAATTTTGTTTTCACAGATTTTAAATTTGCTGCTACTGTTAAATTCAGAATTAACACGAATGTGCTTTTAAATGACTGTTTGTTTTTGAATAGTAACCTCGGGTCTTATATTTCACAGGATTATATGGCTGGCTGGAACTATGGCTGCAATGTCTAGTATAGCCTACCCTTCCATTAGTTCATTTGTATCTGCTCATGCCAGTCCAGACCAGCAGGGTACAGTATGTGTTGTGTGTGTTTCCTTGTAAAATAGTGACCTTTGGAGTCAGCTTGTTGATTTTGTGTTTCCTTATAAAATAGTGACATTTGGAGTCAGATTGTTGATTTTGTGATGGATGATTTGTTTTTTCTAAAAATTAAATTGGGTATATTTTTTATTATTTTGTTGACTTTATTGTAGGCGATATATTGTTTTTAAATTGGGTATATTTTTTTTAGTCAGCTTGTTGACTTTACGGTGGGTAATATATTATTTTTAAACTGTTTTGTTTAAGGAGGGGGGGGGGGGGGGTCAGCTTAAGACATTCAGTTTGTGGATATCGGGTTTTAAATCTTGGTATATTTTGAGTCAGCTCGTTGACTTTACAGTGGATGGTATATTGCTTGTGGTAGAAGATAACAGAGGTCTGCAGGTTTTAGCAGCTGGTTTTCACTGATGTGGACTATAAAATGAAGCATCAAGAAACATATTTAGCAGCAAATTGGCCAGCTGGAATATGCAAAAAAATTTCAGCTCGTTAACTTTACAGTGGATGGTATATTGCTTTTAAACTGGGCATATTTTTAGTCAGCTTGTTTACGGGATTGATATGTTTTTGAACTGGGCATATTTTAGTCAGCTTGTTGACTTTACAGGAGTGGTATTTTTTTTAACTGGGCATATTTTTAATCAGCTTGTTCACTTTATGGGAGTAAATGGTTTTTAAACTGGGCATATTTTTGGTCACCTTGGTGACTTTTCAGTGGGTAATATATTGTTTTTAAACTAGGCATATTTTGGGTATGTTCACTGTACGGTAGATGCTATATTGTTTTCAAACAGTTTTTTATTTCAAGTCAGCTTTTGAGTATTTTAAAACTAAGCAAACAAACATAAAAACATTAAAAAAAACAATATAAAAATGTGGTGTAAATTTCTAAGGTATCTGGTTTTTATTATATTATCTTTTTTTGGTGTTAATTTGTGTGCTATTATCATATTTTGTTTTAATTTTGATTTATTTAGTGACTTGTTATCTTCAGGTGTAGCTCAGGGTGTGATAACTGGCATCCGTGGACTCTGTAACGGGCTCGGACCAGCTTTGTTTGGTTTCATATTCTATCTGTTCCATGTGGACCTCAATGAGAAGGAGGCAGGGCAGCAAATAGTCAGCCAGCAAGATAATCTCTCTCATCGGTCTCCCAATTCCATGCAGGTCAGTTTAGAAAAAGCTTTTTTTGCTTGAGCTATCAAGCAAAAAAAGCATTTTACAAAAAGAGCAATTTTCTTTGTCAGTTGAGACAGGAAAGAGAGTTCTCTAGAGCTATATTAATCCTATGCTGATATAAGGAAGTGAATCATGCAGCTAAATTAAGAAAAGCATAGCTCAAGCTAAAAAAGCGTTTTGCAAATTGAAGAATATTCTAAGCAGTTTTTCTTTGTCAGTTGAGGTGAGAGAGTTCTCAAGAGGATATATAAATCCTGTGTTGATATACGGAAGTAAATCATTGACAGTTGGGCAGTTAGTTAAAAAAAAAATTTGTTGGAAGTAGCGGAGATCTGGTTTTATAGAGAATGATGAGAATACCCTTCATAGATAAAAAAGAGTAATAAAGGTGTCTTGAAAAAAAACTGACTCTTGCACGTTTGAGAGAAACAATTTACATTTTTCGGTCATGTCACAAAAAAGGGTAAAACTGGAGGACATTGTGACAGTGAGAAAGTTGGAGGGGAAAAGAGGCAGAGAGAGGCTGGACAGTTTGAGATATGGCGTAAAAGATAATTTGTGTTAGCATTGATTGAAAATACAGGAGACAACAGGTTGTGGATAAAAATGACTACCAAAATCGACAGTTAGAAAAGTAGTTTACTAACCTGTAACATGTTGTATTGAACGAACAAACAAACAGACTTTATTTTCAAAGGGTAGCGAATTGGGCACGCAGGCTCATCTTACATTCAACCTTTCTAAACACCCATCTTTCACACAGCAGTTGTATTTTATCAGTAAAGCATGTTATGTTCATATAATAATATGCATATTATAAATATCAAGAAAAACCACAAAAGCATGGGTGGTAAAATGCATGCGCACACTCTCCTGTGTATACACATATCCACTCACACACCCACATATATACACACCTACATTCACACATGCATATTCACACACACACACACATGCACATATTCACACACACATTTGCATACACACATAAACAGGCATCCATGCATACAGACACTCACACACACACACAGACCGCCACATACAGACACTCATACATACACATACATACATACACTTTCGCTGATACATGCATTCTCATATATACTCATACATACACAAACACCTAAACTTTCAAAAACAACCATACATACACAAACACCCAGATGTGCATAATTACCATGCACACACTCATACATACACAGAATCATACATACTCCACATGCCTACAGATATACACATACATACATACATGCATACCACACATACACACGTAACAAATACATGCATACATACACATTATACACACCTTATGTAAATATGAATTGATAATGCAATATGGAGATACTGACATCAGTAATTGAGTTGTGAGAGGAGTAGAAGTATTCATGTAGTCACAGTTTTGTTCGATGTCTTTACTGTTGCCAGATAAATCTCTGGTACCCATTTTTTGGCCAGCTGTATACTTCTAGTGTCTAACTTGGACCATCACTACATCTTGTGTGTGCAAAATTGATTTCCGCTTGAGTGCCAGCTGGTCAGACCTGGAATATTTATTCTTCTTCATGTTCACCAGCTGTATCCTCTAGCGGAAAGTTCTGGTTGTTCATCCACTTTTGGACTGCAGTCCTGTTCTAGAACCTGAGTGTTTCCTGTCCATTTTACAGATCTGACTCAGTTGTATGCATGCAGACTGCTGGTTCCTTGCCTCTCAGGCAGATACACTCCAACTTCGAAGGAAGCTCCCAATTAGTCGACTCTTACGACATGCTGTTTGGGTAGGCAGTAGAAATCTTTCTAATGCTTGTGGCAAGCATGTCTGTACTACATGTTCAGTATTCTGTTGTACATGTCTACATGGGCAAAGTTGTGAGTCTACAGTACTGAATTTCTTGTATGTATGGCTGCAAAGTTCGTTTCTAGTGGCATCTGAATACAGTGGTCTCTGTTTCTGTTGTGTGAGAATTTTGGCTAGGTCTTCAGGGGTGTGTTCCAAAAGGTTCTGATGGCTGCCTTGATCTAAGTTTTATTTTTCCTCATAAATGCAACCTGCATCTGGCTGTTCAGTATTGTTCCAGAATTATGTTAAGTAGTCTGCTGTTTCATCTCCCGTAATGTTGCTGTGTGACCAGGGATCCACCGGAGCACTGTCTGCTTGGTCAGCTGACTAGTTTGATTCAGCAGAGATCTACATAACTGTAGTTACCTATTGTTTTGTATTGCTGTGTCAGACATCAACATTTATCTGTTATCCTTTACATGACATTGTAGAACCAACCCCAGCATTTTTGGCTGTTTTGGTTTTTCTAGGCATATTTACGTCTAGTAGTTTGCCATTACTTTCTAGACGTTCAGCTTCTGGATACCACTGTCGAAACCATCGCAAGACACAAAATATCAGCATTATTTTTTTAATATTATTTTTTTTAAGTATAGATCAGCTTTATAGATTGACAGGCATTTTTTTTTTCATTTGTAATCTTTATTTGTTGGCTCTTACTTTTGGGTTCCAGTTGCTTACATTTCCACATATTGACTGCAGGTTAACTTGTCTTTGTCTGTATGATTGTCAGGGTGTGGTGCCCGGACCTCCATTTGCATTTGGTGCGGTACTGGTAATCTTGGCTTTGCTAGTGGCTGCGTTTATGCCTGAGAGTCCACATTCTAGTGCCGCTAAGAAGCAGAAGTTAGCAGCCTCTGCTTCGTTTGAGCTGGAAGAGGAAACAGCTGGTGAGTTGTGATGATGGTTATAGATATTCAGTGTGCTCCATTTGTTGATGTAGTTTTGATGTAGATCTTATAGAGTATGACCATATGGCTGTGTCATCTGTGCACCCATGGTTGTTGTCTGCATGGTTGTCATCTGGATGAACATATGGCAATGTCATCTGTGTGAATGCATGTGTGAACATATGGCAATGTCATCTGTGTGAATGCATGTGTGAACATATGGCAATGTCATCTGTGTGAATGCATGTGTGAACATATGGCAATGTAATCTGTGTGAATGCATGTGTGAACATATGGCAATGTCATCTGTGTGAATGCATGTGTGAACATATGGCAATGTCATCTGTGTGAATGCATGTGTGAACATATGGATGGTTTGGTCAGCTGCTTAAAAATGTGGCCGTATCATGTGTGTTATTGCTATGTCTTCTGTGTGAACAGGGTTATGTCATCTATGCGAACTCATAGCTACATCATCTATGAAAACAAATATGTCATCTGTGTGAACACATGGCTAAGTCATATATTTAAATACATGGTTATGTCATCTGTGAATACATGACTATGTCTGTCATATCTATGAGCATGGTTATGACATCTTTGTGAACATCTACCTGTGTCATCTGTATGAACCAATGGCCAGATGGGATCAAACTTGGTGTAATGAAGATGAACCTCTGGCCTTTAATAACATCATGTGCCTAGGCGTGTAGTAACCTCTATTGTATATTTGATTTCCAGAATCTGTGATACATTGGCTATGGGAAGAATTGAAGAAGAAAAAAAAAGCAACATTTACCAGTTTAAATTAACTTTTGAGAACATCAATATGCCTCCATCTGAATGAGATTGTTTTCACTTTAGAAAAAAAAAGCTGCAACAGCAACTGTCCCTCAGCACCTGGAATAGTATGTAAGTGGGTACATTGTTAGAATGTAAATTAAATCTTAAAAGTTATAGGGAGCAATACATATAATTGACCTCGCAGCAGAACAATTTTTGTGGGGTTTTTAATTCGGGGCAATTTTTGCGGGGGTTCCAATTGACCTCACGCCAGGGCACATTTTTTCTATAATCGACATTGACTCTAGGTCATCCCAGTCTAAAATGGGTACTAAGAAATGTCCTACGAAATAAAGGGGCCAGCATGGTGTTGACAGCATCATCCATTGAGTGCCGATTAGTCTATACACAAAAATATGAGTCCAGCACCATATGCCTGATGTGCCATTGCCATGAGAGGTATCCTTTATATGTGTGTGTAAAAGGGGGAGGGGGGATTAACATAATTCATTTGTGGTGCATAACCCACAATGTAATCACACAAAGTTTGGTTAGAGATATAATTCTTATTTTTATTGTTGTTATACTGGGACAGTGTAATTTTTAAAACATGTATTTTTGGTTATTTTTGAAGCATTTTGCCAAGATGTTTTTATATACATATGGAACCAAAACAGTGATAGTAAATTACACTCATACATATGTACATAGACACATATCTGCAGATACATAGATGCACTGACTGGCATATATTTTGTTGTCGTAAACATGTGTGCCTTTTTGTCACTTTCAGGGAGCAAGAAACATGAAAGTGAACCCCTAATGGCAGACACAGATGTAGAATTATAGCAGAAATCGCACACGTGAACTGGGTTTTGAGATTGTTACAACCCTCTGGCCAAAGATGTTCGTCATCACTCAGTTTGTTTTGTTGAGAAAAACTTAACATAATCTGATAATGTTTTCTTGTGTGTTGCATCAACAACTGTGAGGTGTGTTCATTTACAGATGAGCCACTTTTTCTAATGTGTGTTCATTTACAGAGATACCACCTTTTCGATTGGTATTAAATATCATCATCTTCAAGTTCTATTTTTTTTAATAGTAAGCTTTGTTGGGAGGAGAGTTTGCAGTCCAGCGCTCAATAGGTACCACTGACCATGATCATTCTGTGTGGATGTATAATGTCTTTGTCATCAATCCATTTTCTCCTTGGACACTTGTTTGCCTCCTACACCTGATAATGTAGGTGCTTGTGATGGCCGCACTCTGAACAGCATGATCATTTGATCTTCTGCTTCTGAATAAATTGGAACCAAAGTGTTCCCAAAGTCTGTTTGGTAGAATCATTTTACACTCTCTCCCCGGTGGTCACAATGGCTTTTGATCTCAGGCATCTCATCTCATAGGTGTTTGTTTATCTTTACTTAGGCCTTAGATAATATCCAGTTTTGCACTAGTAGCATAGTACAATAAGTGTGATAGAAATTACAAGAATCACGCCACTGAGCACCATATTTAAACTGTCCTTATGATGTCATCATCTTCATCTGCACCATGATATCGAGCGCTAAACACTTTTTAACATCCTAACAACAATATTGACAGGTTACAAATCAGTGGCAGTTATTGTAATTTCTGTCACACTTTGAAGGTTTCATTTGAAGCCTGCTTGTATTTAGTGTTTAATAGAAAGCTGAGCAATTCATTTTAAAAATGTAATTATTAATTTTTTTTTTAATTATTGAAATTGAAAGGGCATCATTTTTTTGGTACTTTTTGAGGAATTTCCATCTTACCATTATCTCCTGCCTCAGACACAAGAAATGAATCTGTTGAGTTCTCACAATTCTTACACAAATAGCAGTAATTTATAGAATCAGGCACAAACATTTGAAGTGAACCACACATTGAAGCGTACTATTTTACAGGTAGAAGCATACTGTTTTACAGGTTGACTCTCATAACTGTTTTACAGGCTAAATCAGTTTTACAGGTTTAATCACACATTTGTTTACACTTTTAGAGGTGGAATTACACTGTTTTACAGCTGGTTCACACTGTTATACAGGCGGAATCACTCCATTTAACAGGATGAATCATACTAACTTAAATGGACACATGCCAACTGCTCTGGAGCTTGGTCACGTGACTATACATAATTGTATATTCATTGTTTCTCAACACATCACAACAGTATCTTAACTCTTTGAGTCCCAAGGAACGCATCATACGTCCATAGGTTCCTACCTATAAGCCCAATGAAGGCATGATGCGCCGATTTTATGACTCTGTTTACTACCCCCTGGGCCTGTGATGCTAAACCCCCTGGGACTCAAAGAGTTAATAAAGACATTCTGAAAAACAAGAATGGGTTGTTTAGACACCCATTAGAGATAGTAGTTTTAGAAGATAACTTCTGTAGGATGTTGATTAACATTAAAATCTGGCAAACTGTTGGTGTCTCTTTATTCCATTATGTATGTGGCTCATAGGGCCTGGTTGGCTTCTGAAGTGTTGAGGATTCTGTATTGCTGGGTTTTTTTTAACCAGAATTCATGATTGTTAATTTTGTTGTTTAGCCTAACTTCTTTTATCTGTGTTTTTTAATGGCTAAAGTAGGTTAAAGGCAACTCGGTTTAACATAAAGCCCTGCTGTTGATTGGCTTTTAATAGTGCTTGTTATTGGAAGCAATTGAAACAGATTTGTTAGTGTTAATGTGTTTAAAAAACACATTTCCTGTTTGTTTGTTTTTTAAATAATCATAGCTGGACTTTTTACAAACATGGGCTTGGCTGCCAGGTTGACCCAGCCTTAAATGGGTACCAGGTAAAGTCCTGGGAAGTAAAGGCAGCTGGCTTGATGTTGATCACATTGCCAATTGGTCTGTAAAATAGAGGTCTAGCCTGTATGCTCAGTTTTGGAAAAGTTTCGTTTACTTTACTTAAGCTAATTGTAGGTGGTCTTATTTGCATGTTCGTTATGTTTTTGTACATTTATGTTATTTGGATTGATGTAATATGAATGATACTTTCATAGCTATATTTAATTACATGTTTAATAGCATTCTATTATTACATAGGGCCTCAACTTGTACACAGTCAAGGTTTTTTGCAGCCTGTTTCTTTCATGTTCATGTTAGGTTATGTGTTATTTATGATTATTTTTGCTTATAGAGCATTGTGTAAGAAGTAACATTTATCAGTCTACTTGTCTTTATTGATAACCACATGAGAAACCTGGAGTATTATTCTTCCAACTCATTCTTGGGTAGTGGATTTCATCTCTAGGTTTCTCAGAAAAAGGCGCCCAAAACTAGGTTATGTCCGTTTTGCATGTGTAGAAATATCTTGTAGTTGGGGATTGTCTTTGTGAGATATATTGGAGAAGATAAAGAGGTAAAGGTAAAGTCGGGAGATGTGAACCAGCGTCATTGCACACGGTTATAAACCATAAGTGCTCTGCCACCAGTACGGACAGCTGATAAGAAACTGTCCACCTGTATCGCCGTTCGGACGTAACTCTGTAGCTACAACGACATTTCTCCATTTACCCAGAGTTTCAACTCTGGTACCCGTTTCCTAGTGGCCGGGTGAACCCCGGGAACCGCCCGGTTTTGAACACCGGCCGTGGGCTGCAGCGAGTCACAGCTGGATTTGAAAGCGAGCCTCTTATCGACGGCCCCCATTGGAGAAGATAGAGCACCTGTAGAGTATCCATGTAGAAACCACTAGACTATTGTATTTGGTTTCTGGAAAGTTGGAGAAAAGTCTAGTTTATATCATGCGTTATTTAATCTCTCTATCTCCTAAAGTCTTATTTAGTGTCTAGACCGTCAGAGACAATGTTTTCCTGTTAGGAATCTAAAAAATTAGCACATAATTTGGTCAGCTGCATGTATCCACATAATAGGGTACAAAAGTAAATCCTTAAACTGAAATACATAAATCAGGAAGTCTATTCTTACACTGTGCATCTCAGCACAGGGGTTTTACATTAACTGTGTAATCCTTCTGTTGACATAAAGCAGTATCTTGTGGTTTAAGACTTTGTGGTGAGATCTGCGGTGTCACAGTGGACTATGTGATTTGTTTTTATCGCACCACGAAGGTTAACATTACCTGTGTGATCCTTTTCTTTACATAAAGCTGAATCTTGGGGTTAAGACTTTGTGGTGAGATCTGCTGTTTAGCAGTGGACTACATGATTTGTGTATTTCAGTGGATGGATTCATTTGTGTGTGTGTGTGCTTCATTATGTTAATGGAAATTCTGCAGTAAGCATTGGCGAGATACTGTGAAATATCCTCGGCAGTAAATTATGCAGAATAGTGGTGCCTTGGTATTCCTCCTTAATCCATTCCAGATTCAAGTCCAAACAGGATGCATACCTAGATACCACTGTATATTGTTGATGCCCTCGATATTTTCAGTCAGAAAAAAGGTCTGTGATTCATGTTGTTTGTTGTTTAATCACTTACCCCTAAAGCAGCCAACTACCTGATCTTATGTCAAGTTAACTGGGTCGGTAGAAATGTCTTACCATACCTAAATAATTCTATTTCGTTATTGCTCTATGTCCTGGCCTAATTTCACAGTGCATATTTTTATGTTTATGACCTAAATGTCTTAGCTTAATCTGTCAGATGTCTGAACACGGAGGTGTTGTTTCCTCACTTGATTGCAGAGATTGAAATGTTTTTGAACATGCCGGTAAAGAGTTTTGTATCTAAAATGTTTGTATAATGAAAATGTTAATACTTGCTCACATGATATTGATAGCTCTGATCACAAATACAAAAACTAGAAACTTTAATTTTATGTTTTCAGTCTTAATTTGTACATTTTTGGGGGGTTAAGTTTCAGTTGTTTTTTTTTTTTTTTGGTTTATGTTCAGCTTTCACATAATTTTGTGTGTGTATGGGTATGGTTTAGGAAATCCAGCTTTGTGGATGTTTTGTGTGGTTAAAAGATGTATAAACTGTCAGGTTTTTTTTTTCTTTTTGCTTGTACAGATCATTGTATATGATCCTGTTTGAGGATGTTCTGTGGTGATAACCTGCCCATCGTTTTTGTGTTTTTGTATTTGGTTTTGTCGTCATTATCGGCATTCCTTTTCTGCCCCTTATTCTCCAGTGAAGCATAAACCTTCAACCAAATCATGCCACTTTGTGCTGTCTTTTGTTGTGCGTAGCCCTCATCACATGTCCTTCCTTTTTCACATTACTTGCCAGTTCCTTTCTTCGTGGGATTTTTGGTCTGCCATTAGTAAATTGTTTGTTTATCTTGGTTGGTTTCAGTGTAATGACTTGCTACTTGCACAGGAACCAACAGGGTCACAGAAACAAAGGCAGACCTAAAGACACACATAGAAGGGAACTGGAGAGTGAAAAATATGGGACTATTATTTCAAAGAGGAAAAATAAAGAGCATTAAAAAAAAAAAGACGGCACCGTTCCATAGAAAGGAATTAGGAAGTGAAATGAAAAAGGTGGACCTGTGCCAGAGCAGGGAATGAGAGAGGGGGTAAAGGGGAGGGGGAGGGTGAAGTATTAATGATGGAACTATTCTACAAAAAGGAATGTGTAGTGAAATAAAAAATATGGAACTGTTCCATAGAACGGAAGGAGCAGGTGAAATAAAAAAAAATTAAACTATTTCCTTGAAGAGATTGAGAGAGTGAAATGCAAAAGATCAAACTATACCATTGAAGAGAAGAGAGTGGGGGGAAAAAAAAGAGGGGGGGGGGGCAAAGATGGTACTATTCTATAGCTGGGAATAATAGAGTGAAATAAAAAATATGGATCTATGCTGTAGGAGGGGATGAGGAGAGTGAAGTGAAAAAAGAT